GTATGAACTAACCCAAAAAGAAAAAAACGGATATCCATAGAGAAAAATCATGTAAGACAATGTAATCACAACTTCTGATTCGAAAATATAAAAGCGTCTTCGGAGTCGAAAATCATGACAAAAATTAAGGATTCGTTTCTAGACATGTCCAAAAGATTTTCAAAAGATATGTCCAAAAACATGAAAAGAATAACCAGAAGATATTCATTTTCTAAAGTTTCTACATAATATATTATATACAACTCTAAACAGACATTAACCACATGGTTCAAATATATTAGTCCTAAATATATTATGAAGTTTTTGGAGCAGAATACACACTCATATGATATTACACATGATTCGAAAATCCTACTGATTCAAATGTTTTCATCGATTCAAAGTTGTTGCAATGGTATGAAGAATAGATTCAAATGTGTGTGGTCTGTATTTTGTGTTTCCTTTCTAAAGAAAAAAAAAGAAAGAAAAGCAAATTCCTCTTTTACAGATCTCTTTTCTCTTTGTCGTCACTTTGTAAGGCATGATTAGGTGAAACTTCAGTAATAATCATCTCGACACTTTGCCTTTAAACACTTTCTTAAGTACAATATATTATAACTAGAGATTGTCCACGCGTTGCATGGATTTAAAAATTAACATGATAAAATATGCATAGTTTTTAGTTTATTGATTATTTTTGAATTTAATATTAAAGTCATTTGGTGTTTATAGTATATAATTATTTAGGTTCAAAAACTAAATATTTGTAAAAAATTATTATTGATACAATGTTATAGGTAAAAATATTATTCATTAATAAAAATTTGTATATGAATTGACATAAATTTGAAGGAGACATATATTATGTGAGATAATACAAATGTATCGTAAACTTTAAAAATATGTTTGGTCTTTTTTTGTTGCATCAAACACGTTCGTAAAAAAATTATTGATTTGCATCATCTCAACAAAAATGTTGGAATGCGTCTTTGTCTATTTCGTTAGAACTTTGAATCCTAAAAAAAAGAATAATTGTTGCTTGA